GGATATTGAGAGGGGATGCCCAGCCAATCTCTCTAATCCATCTCCATGGGAAGGTAGAATGACTAGAATGCATGCATTCGTTCATCCAGCAAATATTGATTAAGCAAGTTCCAGGTACTGAGCCTGATGTTGCAGATATGACAATCAGCAAGAGAAACACTTTCCCTTACCACCTTTCCAGACACACACAACTGAGCTTACATTGTCCAGCTGTATGAAATTTGAGCAAAAATGAACATAAAGTCAACAGTATTTGTATTCAACTGTCAATTATTAGCAAGGAAGGGAGTCGATGTCTGCCTTATAGAAACCAGAATGTTAGCACCGAGAGAAAAAATGCGGACCATCTCTTTGTTAGGAGAGGTGATGAAATGGGATCAGAAAGCTTAAAGGTTTCACATGGGTATTTGAGTGGTAAAGTCAAAACTTGAACTCAGACTCTACTCTTCATCTGCAGCTTCTGCACCACCCCACAAGGCCTCCTTCTCCCACACCCCCACCATCCATGTTTGCTTCAGAGAAAGACAAAGTCTAATTTCTGAATGATGGCTACATAGATTACATCACGATGTAGTTAATGACAAAAGCAAGACTTCAATACATGCATACTTTAAATAACACATTAGGCTTATCACTGCTGATATCTTTAATTATGCCAAGGCAAAACTGGAGACAATCTAATGGGAAATACAGATTACTTGTTAAAATTATTAACAGAATTAATGTGCTTACATTTGTTTACGTGTACTGGAATCAGCTCAGATATTTGACTGCAATGACAATATGTGTAAAGATCAATTAAAAGTCATAGAGCTGAGATATTGGATTTCCAGACCCTAATAGGATTTCATCTGCACTTGCTATATTATGTTATACAATTATAATTGAGCTTCCATCAAACCACAGAATCTGTCACCTCACCAATTTATTTTCCAAGCACTAATGAAACTTATTTCTTGCTGAGAATGCTTTTAAAAGCATAACCCTGAGGAAGAGAGGTGACACAAGAGATGATAGGCTTCTATTTACTTAGCAAACCTAGGTAAAAACTTGGACATAGGTAAAGTGAATTTGACAGTTTTAGGAGGGTCCTCAGCAGGCATTTGTTCATATTATGAAGAGCACCGAAGTGCTTTCAAAAAGAACTGTAAACAACACATACAACTCATGCTCACTTTAAGCCCTAATATCAGATTGATTCTCCGCCTCTTTATTGTAAGGTAGTCAAGCTAAAGGCAGAATTGATACAATATTTTCCTCTGGATCTTTCTTAATTATTTTTCCCAAATTGATATCATGCATTGAATTATAAAACAGACGTCTCTGTAAAAGAACTTAGTGAGGCTACTTTCACTTGATAAAATGAAAATTCTCTTTCCAATTTTGTTCAGAGAAGGGAAGACAATATCTAGAGACCATAGTGTAATACAGCTGTAAGATGACAAACATCTGGAATGACAGAACAATGATACTCTTTGGAGAGACTCAAAGCTCCTATAATAATAATCTTGTGCTCCTCAAACTGACCTGTGATTGTACAGTGACGAGTGAGATGGACAGCTACCCCTGGCTGGCAGGGAGTGTAATTCCTTAGAATCATTTATTTACAGACAGTCATTAAGGGACACTAGAGATCATGTGATGTGGACCTCAACAGGAAAACTCCTGCCTGACAGATGTATGGCCAGATCCACCTGACATATCCAGGAATGAGGCATTCACCTCACTGAAACAATTGCCAGACAATTGTCAGAGAGTTCTTCCTCGTGCCTTGCTGCTATCTTCCCCTTTGTAACTTTAAGCCTACCCTCTGAAGCCCCACAGTGCAGTTCAGGTCAAGAAGTACTTACTCTGTACCCACGTATTCCCAACAGACAGAGCAGATCGCAGGAGCTCAGCTGCCCTTTTCTTCAGCAGTCCTAACTCCTCTTCCTCACCCATGGGTTTGTGATGGAGAATACTTGGACTGGGACACACTCCCCAATTCTACGATGCAATGCATGAGCTCAGAGCACACCTACACTCATTTTCTTTGGACATATAATATTTTAATAGATGCACTCTTGACTGGTCATTTGGAGACAATAAATTTAATCAAAACATTTTGTAAGCAATGCTATACTAAATATTTGAAAATCTCTCTCATGTATCCTCTTCACTCTACCTCTCCTGACTAATGCTCAATTCTCTTAATGAATTTATTCTCTGTCCTCTAAGAGAGAGTTTTCCTGAGGGTATCCAGGTCACCCCTCACACCCAATCAGTCACCAAGTCCTGCTAATAGTACCTCTTTTAAAGCTCTTCATCCCAAACTCCCACCCTGCTGCAGGCCACTGCCATCCCTCAGCAGGTGACTGCAGCAGCTTCCCATGCATCTCTGTGCCTCCATCCTTGCTCCCTTCCAATTACTGCTTTAGATCATCATCAGTGATCTTTCCAAAATATTAATCTCACCATGCCACACCCCTGCTGAAAACCCTCAGTAGCTCCCAATTGCTCTGAAATCCAAACCCTTTATCTTCTCTAACATAAACTCTTTATAATCTGATCTCTTCTTAATTTCTCTTAAGTCTTATCTCTCTCCAGTCTCCCCCTTGGAAATCTTAGCCCCAGGCAAAGAAAACTCCTTTCAGTTTCAGCAACATGCTACATGGCCTTTGCCCATGTTGTTTCCTGTACATGAAACATTCTCTCCTAAATCTTCACCAACAACCCCTTCTCCCAGCTAATGCAGGCTTCCAGTCTTACATTGCCCTTCCTCAAGGACATCTTCTCGGACACTTAGGACACCAGCCATGCGTTCCCACGGAACCTTTCAATTCCCCGGGCCTCATGCTCATCACACGTTTGTTCATTACTTATTCTATTGCCTCTCTTCCTCTCTAAAACATCAGCTCTCTGACGGCAAAGCCCATGCCGTCTTGTTTACCATTGCACAGTGCCTGGTACACAGCACATGGCTATACACGTTTTTGAAGGAAGAGGAAGAAAGGAGGGACAGGGGACAAGGGCAGCTCTGAAGGCACTCTGCCTTCCTCACCATTTTGCCCAAGTCTGACTCTGGCGACTTCCTATACCTTTATTGAACTACCATTCTTTAAAATCGGATTGTCAGCAAGAATTCAAGTGTTATCTATTGAATTGCAGCAGAGCTCAATTCCCCAGATGTGCACTGTTTAGGTTTGGTTTATCCTTCTCTCTCTTTTAACCTGTTATCCAAAGCATCATCAGAAAAGATGATGCTGATAAGTGATGGTTCTATTTGCCTTAAAACTTTCCCTTCAAGGCATGGATGTAGGTATGCTTTCAGAGGCTGCTGAAAATATCATACTTCATGGAGGGAGGGGGAACATACTGGTTTTACCATATTTTTATGGTGAACTTAAAATGCTGAAGTGGTGTGGGATACATTGTCCTGGAAATTGCTCTCAGGCCTCCAATGACTTGGATGGATTCAGGATGAGGACTGTGAGATTTATGGTTATGACTGCAGTTTAAACCCATAAACCACAAATGCATATCTGACTGGAAATAAAAAGGAACTGAGTGTTACATCCTCCTAAGCAGATTCTTCCATAGAGTAATGTTGGAGAGGAATCTAGCCCCGAGTGCTTAACTTTGCAATTCAGAAGAGTTGTGACTTAGCTACCCTTATATAACATGGGCAGCTTTTCATTATGTTTATTTGATGCAGTGTTATTGAGGCAATATTTCATATGAATAATTCATTTCTACTCCAACTTTATCTAGCAAAGTCAAAAGCAGAATCCTAAATTTCAAAACAGATCAAAGAGTTCCTTAAATAAATTGGAAATGCCTTGAGTTGCCTGCTTTCTAAATCTCCCTGTCTTGTCTATGCATTAAGCAAGCACTTACTATGGGTGGTTAGATACCAAAATTATTAAATGTTCACAGCTCTCCCTGCATTTTCTTCGGCAAAGATGAATTTTAGTGCTCCAGTTTTGCACTGTTTCTTCTTGTTCTTATCCAGAAATTGAGTTCTATGAGAGCAAATCACATCCAAGTAATTTTTTTTTACATATTTTTAACTTCGGTTGTACGTGCCTGACTTTCTGAGGCCATCTCAGCCCTGATTCCCTTCTGTTCACTGGCCAGCCTGATGAACACAGCGGGCAGGCTGGGGTGAATAAAACAGAGCAATTACATTTGGATGCTCAAGACTGCCAGCTGCCTGGGGACGCCTCACCACAGCCTCCCCATCGTGGCTATCCTCCTTTCAGATCTTACCAAGTCATGCAAGAAAGTCGCCCTTCAAAATGATTGACATCCAAAGACTTGCCCAGGCTTTATCCAGCCACGAGAGTTGCAAACAAGAATGGAGCAATCAGAAAGAAAAATTTAAAACGGAGGGAAAAAAAGTACTCAGAATCACTGAATCATACCTAAGTGTACTTTTTTTTTTTTTAATGCCTTCAGGTCAATAGGAAAAAAATTAAAATAACTAAAAGATCTCTTCAAACCATCAAAGAATGCTCACTTCGTAGATGACTGTGTTAGAAAGGGCCTCAGAGGCAGTCATCTGGCCATCTTGTTGTGTCCCAGAGGAAGACCATGTTTCCTGGCTGGGGCAGGTAAGCATTTGGGGAAGAGTGTGATGGAGACAAAGAAGTACAACAAACACAGGCATCAGAAAACTCTAACTTCCAATTGTAACTCAGCCACTTACCAGCTAGGGGGCCTTAGGCAACGTGACATACATTTCTAGATCTGTGTAATAGAGGAATAATACTACCTACTTTATGAGATGTTACTGGAAAACATAAATAAGTTGATATTTGTAGAGTGTCTAGTACATAGTAGGAAATGGCAACTCTTATTCAGTAATCTGGATTAAGTGTCTACTCTTCGGATTTATGTAGATATTCTGGAGGTGTTTACTGTTGCCTGTAGCACCGTGTGTTGAAGCTGAGTAAAAATATCTGCTACAAACATATTCCCTTAGTCACTTATCTCTGGAGTAGATATGTTTAGTTGCTTACCTAATAGCCAGATCTACCCGCTGCTTCCTCTGGGTGGAGCCTGTTTCCATCATGGAGGCTCAAAATGCCACATACTCATTTCCCATCATGCCTGTGGCTACGCATAAATAAGAGTTGCTGGGAACTTCTGGGAAGGAGTGTCTTCCCTGATAAAAGAAAGAAGAATGTGAGGAGAAAACCCTTTCCCACTCTCCAATCTTTCTGTCACATAAGGATATCCTTCAAGCTGCTGCAGCCACCTTAAATCTTGAGGAAACAGCCGAAACAGACTCTGACCTTACTCATTAATACCAGAGAGCCATTGAACTAACCCACAAATGACCTAGCACCACACTCCTTGTCATGTGAGATAATGAAGTACTTTCCTCATTTAAAATATAGCCCCTCTCATTATTTATAACTGAACAATACAGCCCTTATTTCCTTTTCTTCCTCCAGGGCATCAAGAGACTCTTTCCATTTTATGTTTGAGCATTTGAGCAGGAGTATGCAGAAGTTATTAAACAGGAGTTTATCTTTATGAATAATGCTAATGAATTTTCCAGAGAGGTTGGGTAACTCATCCAATGTCACACAGCCAACAGCAGAGAAGAATTGGAACTCAAGTCTATCTGACTCAAAGGCCAGTCTTTTCAGAACACTGCTACTACATCCATGTAGCTGTTAGCCAGTCCAAGAAGAAATATTTTAAGTAGGTATATTTCCCTTTTCTTTTCTACCTCTCCTTTCAGTTTCTATTCTGCATAATTCTAAATCTCCCAAAGTTTCACCTCCTTAAGCAAACTGACGTTGTGAAATTTCCCCTTCTTTGTCCTCCTTCTTATCAAAATGTTCCTGTTCTGGGTTCCATTTCCTCAGGAAGCCAATATGTCTAAAAAGTTAAAGCTAGATAATAAGTAAATTTCTTTAATGGGATCCTAGTTTGGAGAGTGCCTTCAATGGAAGTTTTCAATGCCCTAGTGGACACAAAGGGCTGGTTCAGCCAATAGGAGTTAACTGAGGGGTATGGAGCATGATTAGAATCCGTTTATTCCTTAAGCAGGTACTTATTAAGCACCTCACTTACTATGCCAACAGTATTCTAGATGCTAGGAATATAGCACTAAACCAAATAAATTCTCTCCCTTCATAAAATTTAAACTCCAGCTGAGGAGAGATAATTTAAAAATAAATATGTAATATTTCAAATGGTGAAAACTGCTCTAAAGAAAAATAAAGCAGGCTAACAAGAAGAGATTGGTGGGGGTAGACTGTCTCATTAAGAGTGAGCAGGACACACCATGCAAAGAAAAGGACGTAAATGTTAACAATATGACAATATAAAATTCATGGAAAAGTACAATGGGAGAGGAAAGTGAAGAAAACTGCAAGAAAGCTATTACCCTCTTCTTATAAAGTAGGACATCAAGAAATACTGCTAAACTGGATTGAACAAAACAGAGAAAATTAACCATATTACTTAAAGTTACAAAGATGATCAGTAGAAAAACTAAAAAATCCTAGAGAAGAAAGGATAGGAGAAGGGATATTTTAAGAGAGCTAAATCCTCACTTTTCATTTCTAGAAGTCAATAGAAACTGCTTAATTGAGAAAATAGGTGTTATCTCACTTGCTAACTTTCACTGATCAGTGGTGGCTGCCTGGGGGTCTCCTGAGTAGAACTCCATACACAAGACCAGCTCTTTAAGAAAGTGGACTGTAATCAATTAATTAGTGCCGTCTGTCATGGAGGCAGAAAGTATCGATGATAGCCCATAGTCCAAGAACTGTCATCTCCATTTGGAGCAACGCCGAGTCATTTGGATATGGGATGGCCCAGGGCAAGGTGAGAGCAATAGCAGCAGTAAGAATAGGTTACACCAGATTAGAGAAAGAAATAGGATGATAAGGGGATTCCTGATACGATGGATTCTTATGTCATACTTTTCATTTTGATTGACAACATTCTGAAATGTACAAGGGAGATAAACTATAGAGAAGACTGACAGAAAAGAGTTAGCTTTACATCACTAATATAAGAATTAGGTGTGTTGGGCTTCAAACCCTGCCTTTCCGAAGTCTCAGAGAAGAATTTAAGCAACAGAGTTTCTAAGACGTGTGCCTTCCTTGGCTGGATTGTATCCAGTGACTCATTTAAAGTCAGTGAAATGTACTTTGGGTATTGTAAACCTTCAGTGGAGAAAACTTACTGTTGGTCCAATGAAGCCCTCCCTGCCGTACCAATTACCTAAACAGAGGATGCCAAAATACCAGGGTCCCAGCTGTACCATCATGCCAAATCCTGGGAACACAAACAAAGCTTGAAATCTTGTCTCTAATTAAATCATGTGGTGCCTGGTGACTCTGCTGGCCACCTACTCAGCAGAAAATCATGTGAAACTCTGAGCCGGCTCCCTTGGTGGCTAATGTCTCTAATAAAGACACAACCCCCAGCCTGTCTGTGCTCCCCAGGACTGGCACCAAATGAAGAGGACAGCAACACTTGTGGTTATCAAAAGGGCACGGTTAGAAAGCTGCCTACTCACTAAACAAAGCAACAGTGAAGCTTCATTAACACTTCAGTACTCTAAGTCCGTCTCCACCTCGGTGACAAGCACACAGAGAGGTGACTATTGCAAAGAGCCCTACACTAGAGGTCTCATTCACACCCCAGCTCTGATACGTTTACTAACTTGTTCAACCTATATTCTGCCCAATCCTATGCTAAGTGATAGACGACCCAGGGTCTCCCACTCCAGTACCCCAGGCTCCATCAGTATCTGGGGCACCTCACTTTACAGTGTTAATTCCTAGGCATAAATTGTTTCCAGTGTGGACAGACAGGCTGCCTCTGTGCTGAGCATCCCATTGTCCATGAGGAATGATTAGTGGAGCCCTGCCTCCAAACACCTCTCCCACTTGGTCCAGGAACCTAAAGTTAGACACTTATCCCTTTAGATTCCTTATTAAATGCCCCTATAGAAATGGTTCTGCACAGTTATCAGCCATTAACACCTTAGTATGATATGTTCCCAGAGGAGAGCCTACTGTGTGCCTTAAATAGACTCTATAATCCTCAAAGTACTCCAGCAGGACCTAACCATTCTAACCATTCAACACACACACACACACACACACACACAATTTTTTGAGGACCTACTATGTGCAGGGCATTTGTGCTCAAGTGGAAGATGGTTTGGCATGTCATAACTAAAGGTAAATCACGTATGGCCCTGAGCACCGTCTAGTAGGAGTGATAAGACACATACATAAATAAATATTATACAGTGAATTTATTGCCATGACAAAGGTACATAGTATTATGTTTGGGATGTAGTTGCACTAGAGACCAAGCTAGGACCTAGACATTCATTCAACACCTATTTATAGAGCACAAATGGACTCACTCATATGAGAGACTTGCAGGACCAAAGACTTTAATGTCAGAAAAAAACCAGGGTATCTGTGGGGTGCATATGCAAGTGAGGGGTAAAGAAGGAAAAATGGAGAGACTCATAAGACTATCAGTTTGGGGTAGGATGATGGGAAAGGGGGGAAATGGGATATAAAATTAGAAAAATCAAGAGGTGACAGATCATGGAAGATTTTGTATGTCACACTAGAGAGTTCTAACCTTATTCTATGGTCAATAGAAATTGGGGGGCTATAGAAATTTTAGGGCTGTAAATTGACATAATCAAGACACTGCTTTCTACAAATTAACCTGGCAACAACATATGGAAGCAATTAAACTAAAGATAAATAAGGTAGGAGACCAGTGAGGAAATTACTGAGTGCTCAAAGAAAGAGGGAATAAGGGCATGAGCTGAACATTTGACAGTGGAAACAGAGAGGAGGATAAATGCTGGCATTACTGGGTTCTGAAATAGCCATCATCAGCTCCTTAAGCCCAAGTCTTGGGTCATATTTTCTACCGAGCATACCACATGGTGCCTGGCACAGAGTAGGCACGGGATAAATGTCAGAGGTAGGTAAATGGATGGATGAGGGAGAGGGAGGAATTAAAGATGGCGATGCTTGGGGCTAGATGTCTGGCACCACCTTTGGAATAGGTTTGGGAAAATGAACCACGATGGATCCATGTTGTTGACTGAGGGAAATAAGAGATCAGAAAATACCTGGATCATGGGGTTTGGAGACAGCACAAGGGACCTGGGATTTTGACAGGAGAAAGACAGAAAGCAGGAAAGAACAGCAAGGGGCTGATTCTAGGCTACCTCTCAGAACAGGGGGTGCAGACTTGATACCCCATGGGTTCAGGGGGTGGCTGACCCCTCTGAGGACTGTCAGGCAAAAAGGAGGTTGATAAGCATTGCAGCAGGACAAGTGCTGGCATGAGGCACTGGTTACAAATACAGGATTTGCACTCAGAATTCTGACAGGCCTGTGCAGGAATCCTGATTATACCACTTACTTAACCAGGTCACGTTATTAGAAATATCCAGGTCTTGATTTGCTCCTTGATAGAGATAATCATACCAAATAGGGTTATTCAGGAGATGGAAGAGATAGCAGCTGTCCACCAAAAATGCTCACTCTCTGAAACTTGCACAGTCTGAGTCACTGCTAGGAGGAAACCACCCAGCCAGACAGCTGCATAACCCAGTCCCCCTTGTGGCCAAGTACTCCATGTGTTAGACAAAAGAATGTGAGCAGAAAAGACACATGCCTCTTCTGGCCAGGACTTTTTAAGGAGCAGGTAAACCTTTTCTACTCACTTTTCCCCAGCTAAGTGCTAGAGGCAGAGGATCCCAGGTCCTGGAGGATGTGCAGCAGCCCCATGGACAAGGCCTTCATAGCAAACCATCGTGTGGAGGAAAGCTGCCCTGGGACCACAGCTCCAGCAACAGAGGGCCCTGTGGACAAGAAATAGCCTCTTTGGTGTCAAAACACTGCAATTCTGTGGTTTATCTGTGATGGCAGGACACCTCATGCTAACAGATGCAGCAAGGATTACCGGATAAATAAGAGATAAAGCATGTAGGACTCTATCTACTCATGGTAAGTACTCAATAAATGGTAGCCAGAAAAAAAAAGTTAGAAGAAGAAGAAAAAAGAAAAATAGAACTTGCGACAATGAGCAAAGAGGATGGTTCTAGGGAGCTCTGAGATCTGTGGGGTCTGGCAGCTCTTTCTTTTG